GAAAGAAGGAGGAGGAGGAGGAGGATGAGATGGGTGAGGGGAAAGGAGGAAGGGGTGAGGTGAGGAGAAGATGACTAACAACAGAGACACTGAGGGCCAGGGAGCATCAGAGGGGCCCTGGTTCACTTGTCTCCCCCTCTGAACTCCAGCGCATTCTGCTCTTAGCTCGAGCTCCTGGGAGTTCAGTTCTGTCCTTATGGCCCAAGGGTCCCCACCAACATATGGGGGTGCCCACCTCCAAGAGGCCACGGAGGCCTGAAGAGCCACCGCACGTGGGCAGCAGCCCTCGGTCCCTGGGCAGGCCTTCAGCACACGCTGGCTTTCATCATTGTGCTTCGATATTCGATGTTTGGCACCGATTCCATTTGATTGTGAAATCGCTCACCATCCCACGTCCTCAGCGATGCTCTGGGCTCTGGTTCTAAGCCCCTTTGGAGAGACTGGCCCAGATGTGACTCCCTGGTCTGAAGGTTCGCATGCAGAGCCCGGCCCGCCTTCTCCAGCTCCGACTCTGCTCCGGCGGCTTTGCCAGGAGGGTGTTCTCTCTCCCACAGAAAAGGGGCCAACACGCACAGTCGGCAAACCTGCGTCAGCCCTGCACGCTGACCACAGCTGAGCCCACGCTCACATCGCTCTCACCCTCCGAGACGTTGTTTGCAGCAGGTCTCACAGCATGTTAATGTCACCCCTTAGCTAGGTGTCTCTCAGATTCTGAACTGGGATTGGCAGATGCCACACGGTCATTCGTCTCTTCTGATATGACCCTTTCTCAGCACATATCCCAGTGGTGGGAACACACACACACACACACACACACACACACACACTGATGAGGACATGCGGTTTATAACAGTGCATATAATTACCCTAAATAAATGCACTGACAAACAGAACCCAATGCATCGGGGGCAAGCAAAGCTCATCTCAGGAATGCAAGGATGAATCAACAATATAAAATCTGTGGGTACAGTTCGCTACATTAAGAGATTAAAGAGAGGAAAATCCCTGATCATCTCGAAAGACAGTCAGTCCCCCCAAAAGCACCTGTAACATATAATACTTACTACTGAGTTTGAAGCACACCCACCAGACCTTCAGGAAGCTCAGAATGGTAGGAAAATTCCTCAGCCTCCAACGAGCATTGCACTTCATACATTAGAAGAGGGGTCAGCAAACTTCTGCAAAGGGTCAGATAGCAAATATTTTAGTTTTTCCGGCCATATGGTCTCTGTCCCAACTACTTAACACTGATGCCACAGTATGAAAGCAGCCAATCAGAAAACATGTAAACGAACAGGCCTGGCTGCCTGCCAATAAAACTTTATTTACAAAGAGAGACCACTGTGGGCAGGGTTTGGCTCCCAGCCATGGTTTGCTGACCCCTGCATTAGAGCCATTCACATTATAGTCAGAAACAAGAGAAAGATGCCTGATTTTATATTTGAATCCTAGCGCATGTAATAATACAAGGAAATATATGTGAAGTACAAATACTGTAAAGGCAGAGGTAAAAATACAATTATTTGCATAATTATATGACTATTTGTCTAGGAAATCTAAAATAATCAACTGGCACACCATTCGAATTAAAAGCGGCCAATTCTAGGGTCAACACACAAATATAATAGCACTTATTAAAGCAACAATATCTTATATAATAAAAGCCTAATATGCTAAGTGTCTGGCCAACCGGTTGGCCGTTCAACCAATCAAAGCATGATATGCTAAGGCTGCTCAACGGCTTGGAGCAGACAGTTGACCAGTAGGTTAGCTTGCTGCTGGGGTCTGGCCGATTGGGACTGAACGAGACAGGCTGGACATGCCCTGGAGCTTTTTTGTGGTCCCTCCCAGGCTGGCCAACCTCCCACATCCCTCCCCGGCCCCAATTGTGCACTGGTAGGGTCCCTTGGCCTGGCCTGCACCTTCTCACAATCTGGCCAGCCGAGGGACCCCACAGGTGCACGAATTTGTGCACTGGGCCTCTAGTATAATGTTTCATAAGCAAAAGTGCCCGATTCATGACAGCAGTAAACCCCAGAAATAAATGAAGAAATAAATGACTGTGACATAAAAGAAAACTAGAAAACGTTGCTGAAGTTTAAATAAGTCCAGATTCAGACCCACCTGGGAGCCAGACCAGATCACATCGACGTTAGCTTCCCAAGTGTGCCCACAGACTCGGTGCAATCCTGATAAAATTCCCAACAGGACTGGCTACAGGCAATGGATTCTAAACTTTATATGGAGAAGAAAGTGTGCAAGCTCAGCTGAGAAACGCTTTTAAAAGGACGTGGAGAAGGGATTTGCTGTAAAGCCATCATAACCAATGCACCGCTGTTGCGCAGAAATTGACAAAGAGGTGTGAGGGTCAGGACTGGAACACCAGAGACGGCACCATATATTTGAGGGAACTTAATTTATGATGAAAGTAGCAACTCCTGTCAGTGGAGAAAGGATACCCTTTTCAATAAATGATGATGTGACAACTGGCTGTGCATTTGAAAAAGAATACATTCCACCCCCCAACACACACTCTCCCTTCCATGCAGCGGCAGCTCCTCTCCCAGCCCCAGAGTCAGGCAGGCTGCTCCCCACTCACAGGCGAGGACAGAGCCCCCAGCCACGCCTGCTGGGGGAGTTGCAACTCAGCTACAATGTATTTGGCTGTGGAGAATCTGGATAAAGGACCCTCCACCCCTTTCTGGGTCCTCATGGGCTGGATCTAAACGTACCCCCTCTCCTTCCCCCGGAGGTCCATCCTCTGCAGTTTTGGAGACTCCTCTGGAAGAATTTGCATTCCTGGCCAGATACAGACCCCAGAGCAAAGAGGGCATTACCCGCTTGAGGTCTCCTTTTGAATCAGCCCCGGTCCCTGAACATATTCCAAGAAGGGACATCCCCCGCCCCCACCCCATCTGTTCGTGGTTCTGTTGATGCTATCATCTGAGAGGGCTGAGCTGAGTCCTTGAAACCAGCTCTCCAAACATAAACAAACAGCCTGTTTAATGAAACAAAGTGCGCACTCTTTGACATTTTCGCGTTGATCTCAGATTCTCAGCCCATCCTCCTCTCCTCCCTGCCCGCCCCAGCCCCCATCCCCACCTCAAGCGTTGTGACTGTTCATCAGGTCTCCCTAAGGATGGATGCCCTTTCCCTCTCCTCCTCTGCCGCCCTCTCCCCCCACCCCAGGGTCACCTCCAGGTCGACTGGAAGGTGTTGGTGAATGTGGCTGCAACCTAGAGAGAGCTGAGCAGCAGGAGCAATGGGCTCCCCTGGGAACAAGGTCTGCTCCCCTCGCTGAAGAGGACCCCCCCAACACACACACCCCCAGCTCTGCAGGTGTTTGTCCTAAGACACAGCCGTCCCTACTGTGGAATCCCAGCTTCCAGAAGAATCTCTGTGTCTCTTCAGAGACTCCTGAGCTCAGTTTTTCCCATGTCTCTCCCACCCCAAGGTTGGGGTCCGGGTGCCCAGCACGGGAACTTCTGAGACCGGTGGGGATAGATGAGACCCCAGAGCCCATCACTGGCTTTAACAGGGGTGGCCCCACAACTCACCGACCACAGCTGCCTGGACCCCAGGCCAAATGGGTGAGGGTCCCGCTGCTCCTCTTTGGGGGAACTGGGCCAGGATGGGGAGAAGCAGACGGAGTTCCCAGGGCAGGAAAGGCACAGGCCCAGGTCTGAGACCCCCAGCTCCCTCGGCTAGTCTGGGGGTTCCTCCTCCTTCCCCAGCCCAGGGCCTCAGGAAGGGCTCTTCTGCCCTCTCGTGGCCAAGTGGCTGCTGCAGGCGTTTCTGCACACCCAGTTATTACCAGTAAACCTCAGCCATCAGACTGGGGTGCAGAAGGAAGCTAGTTCCAGTTATTTGTATCAAGGTTTCTTTTTTCTCCTAACGAAAGACGCGTGAAACCTCTCCCCTGGTAAGGACCACACTCCAGGGGCCTATTAGCAGAGGCAGGAGAGGAGAGGGGAGGGGAGAAGGGGGAGGCACCCCGCCCTGGCGTGACGACCTGGGGGTGGGGGTACCCGGCGTGGAGAGCCCTGAGCCTTTCTCCGGGAGGTGTTCCCGGAAGAAACTGGTGGAAGGGCCGCAGAAGGCTCCTCGCCTCCAGGGGAAGTCACCATGCGGGGCCCGGGGTGTGGAGCAAGGCCGGGCAGTGCCCACGCTCCGCCTCACCGGCCAGCGAGGGCGCAGAGCTGAGGCC